GGTTGGACCCGAATATAAAGATAACAAGTGAGATGCCCAGGTCAGGGATCTAGAAGAGAGTCCCCGGCCCTAGGGTCTAGCTCTAAGACCCGGATCCCCTTCTAAGTGGAGAGAGGAAGTCCCCTTTTCACATGGATACTATTCCCTATTTATAGGGAGGTGAAAGTGGGAGGTTTGTGTAGATTTCCGATGTGGGACTTTGCACAAGTCACTGTGGTGGTGACACGTGTCATGGTGTTGATGCTCTTGGTGCTAGTTGCTTTGATGCTGGATATGCTCGGTTGATTATGGTGTAAACACTTTTCTACAAATTTAGAGTTACAATGAAAATTAGTACTGCTTAACAAAACTGAAATCCTCACCGTCTTTATGTAGAGACTTCCCATCTTAGAAATAGCTGTTTCTGTATAGTAATTACTGTTTTTTATTTTGTTGGCATAAACCCTAAACAATATCCTTTTTCACAGCATGAACTTCAAGTTTTTCTCTGGCTACCTTTGAACAAATTTTATTTTATTGTCAACAAAAATTGAAGTAGCTTATAGAATGACACTGCTTGTTCTCAGTATGATCCAATTGGAAGGCAGTGTTTGACAATGGAGGGTTATGAAGAGATTGGCCGGATTGTTCGTAGCCTGGCGGCCCGACACTGCAGTGGACGTCTTCCGATTGTCCAAGAAGGTGGATATCATGTTACATACTCAGCCTTTTGTCTCCATGCCACACTTGAAGGTGCGCTTAACCTACCAATTTCTCTACTATCTGATCCCATGGCTTATTACCCAGAGGATGAGGCATTGGCTATTGAAGTTATTAAATCCATTAAAAAGTTCCAGAAAGACAATGTACCATTCTTAAAAGGAGCTTAATTTGGAATTTATTTTAGTAAACCTCATTCTCTGTTTGTACTCTGTCTATGATATAAGATTGTTATTGCAACAAACAAGTCGTTTACTTTATTTTTTAAAATTTGATTGAGTATTGCTTATTGCTTCAATGTTTCTGTATGAGCATCCCCAATTAAAGATGAAAGCGCTGTTATCTTGCAGAGTACACCTACTTTCATATAAAACATTTATAAAAAAAACTGAAACATGCCATGGCTGGAGTAGAAGAACAAATTTCTCACTTTTGTTAATACGTTGGTGGATTCGCAATCTGTTTGTGTGAGTTTTGACTATTTTGTTTAGTTGACAGCATGGCTAGTACTCTTTCCTACTTCTAGGTTTTGTCCCACGTGATTTTCTTTGGAAAGGTTTTAATGAGGCCGCCGTTATCATGCTGTGTATTACTCTGTATTTTTTCTCTGGAAAGTTTTTAATGAGGCCGCCGTTATCATGCTGTGTATTACTCTGTACTGTTGAAAATGTTGAAATACCTGGTTTGAATTTCCCTTCATCCACTTGTAAAAAAAACACTAGGTTTTTTACTGCTCTATTGCTGAGTTAAGAACACATGCTGATTAGACTTACAAAATTACAAAATTTATTTTAACTTAATTTACTGCTACACTGGTTTTGTTTTTTCGGTCTGTACTGCTACACTGGTTTAGAAATTATGTTTAAGAGTTATGAGCGTGTATGATTATAAAAAAGGGCACGATGCTGAAGCACATAATCTGAATTTTTTTTTTTTTTTTTGGATTGATACTAGCCTCTTGGAACACTCTCAATTGACCTTTATTTTTTTTCAAGTTTTGTCAAAAAATGAGAGGAGTGACAAGTCTCTACATAAATACATACGACAATGATTTAATGCATTTACACGCATTTGGAAAAAAAAAACTCTTAGCCATTTACACGCATTTTCATAATGATATAAGAATGGGTGAGAAGGGAGAAAGATCGCAGGAGAGAGGAAGAGGATGGCTACGTGATACGGTGCAAAAGAAGAGTTTTAATCTAATATAATTATCATTCTGACAAAAAAAATCTAATACAAATATCATGAGGTGGAATAATTAAATTTCATTGGATCAATTAAATGGTTAAGATTTTTTCAAATGCGTACCGATGCTAAATGTAGACACTTACATTGCAAAATTTCATTGGATCAAGAAAGGTACCTATGCACATCTTTACAATATCAAAATATGTAAAGGGAGCCCATAATAAAATGAAACTTCCCCATCAAAATTAAAGAAAAAAAGAATGGCGGCTGAAGAGATATGAACATAAAACAAGAAGGCTGAATCAGAGACAACACAAAATTTCAGATTCAAAGATACAAAGATAGCTGTTAGAACAAAACAACAGCGGACAGACATGGACTTTTTGGTGGATTGAACTTAAAGCCTGATTCTTTGCTCCAATGCAACACTCGATTCTTACAAGGACTACCAATCTTTCTCTACACATTAACAACCAGCAGCCTTTAAAAAGTTATCATACGGGCTTGATGCAGGTAGCTGAAATCGGGGATAATGCTGGTATTCAGTTGCCCAAAGCGTTTGCCCGTTGCCAACAGATTGGTTGAGTGAAATATCATTTGAATCAAGGAATGGATTTCCACTCTGCAGTCCCAGATTGTTTACAAAATCAGAATGCTTCAGAAGACACTAAGAAGCTAAGTAAAAATTGAGTAGAAACAATATGCATGCACTAAAAGGATTGAATTAAAAATTTAAATGCCAGTTGTATGAGAAAGGAAATACCGTCGGAGCACCCAGCGGAACAACAGAGGGAGTTTCCTTTTGCTGGTTGCAATCATGAGGAGAAAATCTCATCAAACTTTCTTGTCTCAGTTGGGCAGCCACAAAAGCGGAGAATCTCTGCTGCTTCCCCATTTGAAGGGCCTCACAAAGGCCAGCCATTTCCAAATAAGGCATATCTGTAGCAGTTGAGACTGATAATCTTCCAACTTGATGTGTTGTCTCCAAAACCTGCATACCACTTTCTTACTTAGCAATATGTTCAAGTAAATGTACCACTAAAGCCCTTGAGACGCCTTGAATCAGAAAATTGGAGAGAGAACAAATGGATGGCAAACGTTCATGTTTTAAATGGCATCATATATAATTTCTTTGATTATAAACAACAGGGTTTTAAATTTCAGCTATAAAGTTCATGAAGGATTTGATATAAGAAATTTGAGGACTCAAATTCCTTCTCCAGATCCCAATCACAGAGGTAGTTTTCCAGATCTCATGTAAGAAGTGATAAATCGAATTTAAGCTGTATTTGTCACAGTTGCACCACCACCACCTTATACCAACTTTATGAGAACCAACATGACAACCAGGAAAGAAAACTATGACCAAAATTTTCAAAAACTAATTCATCTATATGCTCATTTATTTACTTATTTTCTGTCTGATTTCTGCAAAGGCTGCAAACCCGCAACACTCTGCTAGTGAGCAAGATACCACACTTACCGAATCTAAAAGCTCATCAACACTTATGAGGCTCAGACTTTCCATGGAAAGTTTTTTGTCAGGATCTGTTTGACTTTCAGTTGCATTGGGTAAGACATCATCCTCAATTGTGAATAATGGGGGCTCAACCTGCACAGTAAAACCATTGTGTACACTCAATTGCTTGCGCATTAAATAAAAACAGAAAAGGAAGGTTGTTCAAGTAACTTACCATATCACGAGTTCCATTATCTTCTATGCCAAATTGGTAAATTTGTATGGGTGTTTCCATGCACAACTGAGTTCCCAACGGACATGCATCATCAGGCAGAAAATCATTAAGCAACTGCTGTCTTATAGTTGATGACTCCTGCAGTACAAAAGTACCACTCATTAACAAAGAACTAGATATGGTTCCAATAATCAATATGTGCTTGGAAGCTTACATTTGGTGAATTTCCCAGTGTCTGCACTATCATAGTAGCAAACGATTCCTTAGATTGGCTCTCAGATATTTCTATGGCAGAAAGTGACCTTACAGCATCCTCATTATCTTCCTTTGATCCATAAACTTGCCTTACTTGGTCAGGTCCAGAATTGACAGCTTGCAACTTGCAATCGTCAACCAACCGTAGAAATGGATCAACCTGATACCAAATCATGAAAGCATACAGATCAGTATTGAGTAAGATTACCTTAGGAATCCTTATATATATGAGCATGGAAACATTTTTTTTCCAAGACTAAGAATATATCTTATGTCAAAGTAGAAATAAGTTAAAAGGTTCCACCAACAATCAATGAAAATGAGGTCTGGCAACTCTGTTGCACCTACCGTTTCATTTGTAAGTGCTACTTTAGCACAAGGAGCAAGAGCAACAATGTTGTAGGCTTTAGCTGAGAAGATGATCATTGATGTTGCCAAGGTAAAGAGAGATCTGCGCCTTGATGGCTGCAATCCTGAAAATGTGAAATCCCCTAATTACAAAGATGACATCACAAAATTTACAACACAAAAGAGTTCTTAGTGATCATTACATTTCAATGCAATGAAGTTAGTTAAAATATGTCCAATCTAGACTTACTAAATTTTAAAATACCTTCATTGTTAAAATCACACCCTTTATCTTTGAGAAAAAAAAATGGAAAATAGGATATGACAAATAGATGGACACGATTGAAGGAACATTGCTTCTTAGAATACAATGCTTGCCCCTATTTGATAGATATGCTCTCGTCCTTTCATACTAAATATCTTAAGCCACTAATCTCTTGCTAATCAATCAACAAGAAGATTACCATAAAGTGCAAAAGAAGCAAAGATCTTATATAACCTGAGTTAGTTGAGGTTAGGTGAAAAGACGCAAATCAGGTTTACAGCCAAAGCCATACAGCAATTAATCTCCTATTTCTCTACTCATAGTTACTTTTAAATCAAGTCAAACTTGAGTCTCGTGATCAAGTACAAGATTCCTAATTGAAACTCACCATTATCACACACGACTGGCATAATTTCAACAGACATTCTTCTATAAACTAAATCACGCAGTTAAGGATAGCTTCAGTTATAGGAAGACGGAGGGAAAAATCAACCTGCAAACTTCTCTCAGCTCCTCTGTTAATTACCAGAAACTGAGCTGCTTTACTGAACCTTAATTATTACATAACTTCTACATGATTTCTAAATATCACAGTAGTTGAGCTAGGAATACTAGGTACTACACAATCTAAATCTTGACATGTCACCATAGTATGAGCAATGCATTACGTGGTTAGACTTGGAACCTTAAAAGAAATTATAAACTGCAAAAATGTTGAAAATTTGGACTTGAGAACTTACCTCCTCCAAGAGATATGCTCCTTAAGGAAAAGGCTAGCTGAAAACTTCGGATTAGAGTCTCGTCAGAGGTGTTCTACATGACATAGTGAATCGAAACAAAGTGAAAAATGGGGACCAAATAAGAAAAATAACTAATTATGGATTTCAAGGTAAAGTGGATTTTTAACTTGGGAAAATCCTCTAACCTTGAAACTATATAGAGTAATATTAACTACTCCCTAAACACTTATTATAATCAAAACAAGGGGTAAAAAGACATAGCATCTTCATTGTGCCTTGTTATTGCTATAGGCCTTTACGCTTAATCCAAGGGTTGATTGTCACTTGGGTTTAGTTACGAATTAAATGATAGAGTTGATAAGGCTTGATCGGTAGAGCTGATTACTAAGGAATTTATAATACGATTTATTCCTTCATTTGTATAATGAAATACAATGATTTCCTATTTTTGTTTCAACATGGAAAATGGAAGCCATACCTTAGTTCGGGCATATAGCAACACAAGGCTGTAGGTATGAGCAATTGCTTCATAGTTATCAGGCATATTTAAAGGAGAGATGGATTGCACCCAGATTGATGAAAGCAGAAGGGTAATCTGGCGACTGCTTAACCTAAGTGACATTGTCTGCAAAATTAGTCAGATAAAAATCGTCATAACAGAAGATGATGAAGCAATACTATAGTGTTAAATGTACAGAGTCTATATAACGGGATAGCAGGGACAACAATTCATACCGATTCTTTATGTGAAATACTCCTAGGTTTTTCATCAGCAGTCGTATTTGATGGATTCCTTTTCATACTGTAGGCTCGGCTGTAAGTTGACTTCAACCGGTTCATCACAGACTGAGAATTGATTGCAGAATCCTCATTACCTACATAGTCACTAGTAGTTGATTGATGCCTTCTTGAGCTAAATTTGGACTTCAATCTGTTCAACATCGATTCATTAGTAACCTTTGATTCTTCTTCAATTACAGCGTTGTCCTTCATCTCTTGACAAATGTTTTCTTGTGAGGTGGATCGCTCGTTTAATTTTTCAAAGAGTGCAGCTGATGAAGAAAATACAGACACAGTTCTTGAGAGTGTCCTTCCTATATCATTTCTTTTTGCAGTGTGGGGAGTAGCAGCACAAGGACGAGGGCAAACAGATGATGGAACAAGAACGACAGAAAATATACGGTGTGCACCCACCCTGGTTTCATGGTCTGCACAGACCATAGCTACGAGTAACTGATGAAATAACGCCTCAGGAAAGGTCTACAAAGTTTCAGATATTCAAACCAGAAAATGAAAAGAAAAATAATTAGATGAAACTTTGGCAAGTTTGTGCACTTAATTGTAGATAAGAGGAAGTGATAAACCCGATGCAATCTTGCCTTGTTTTGATATGTCAAATTAGGTATTGTTGCCACAATTTGACCAGTACGGTAAACAGCAGAAATCAAGGTTCTAGACATAACAGTAATGTTAGACATATTTTCTAACATCACAGCCATCATGTCAAGAACAGGACCTGCATCTCCTACCTGCACAATATAAGAGAAATAGAACCTAGCTTATGAGAATAATTATTCCATAAAGTTTTTTCCATAACATCTCACAAAAAGGAGGAAATTCTAGATATAATTTACCAAATCCTACAAGTTTTATGATTGAGTATAAATTGATCTTAAAAAAATAGAAAGGATGTCACAATCACCTTATGTGTTAACTGCACAAGGCATTCATCCACTGCTGCTCGAAAATTTTGGTTCCATTCAATGACTTCGGCCCCCAAATTTGAATCATCAAGTGAGCAATGTATACTTTTGCGCAGGTGTCTCATCATATCACTCAATGCACCAATTATAGCAACTGATGACTGAACCTTTGCTTCTCGAGTAAGAGAGGTGGCAACATCAACAATGTCCAGCTGCATATTTGGGTTTTTAAGAACATTCTTGTGATCAAGATGCTTAATTAAGATGGACAATATAAAGTGCCTGTTCTGCCCTGCGAAAAACAGTGCAGAGATCATGAAAATATCAAATTGAAAGATTAAAGCTAATCTCAACACAAAGGAAGACTAGTCAAGTTCCCAGAGTCAACAAGGTCTAAGCAATTTGAAGAAATTTAAATACCACAATTTTCAATTATTAACTGCATATCCATCAAGACACACAATGCGAGCCCATGTTTAGGAGACCAGAGATTGCCATTATCAAAATAGCGGAACAAAGATTCTAATACACGCCGTACGGTTGTAGCTTCCTTGGCTAACTTGGCAATGTTATGCAGGCAAACCCTTGACCAAAATCTGGGGTTATTCATGTCCTCCCTGTAAATGAAAACAAGAAGAAGAAAGGTAGATGTTAGCTATAACACGTTGAAATAGCTAGATATATAACGAAAGTTACAGAAAATTGTGCCAAAAAAAACTACCCTGAGACATTGACTTCGCCTTTTTCACTCACTAGCAGCCTCCAAGACAAAATACTTGTCATGGGTTCTCCTGAAGAAGAAGCTTCTTCTAAACTCTCAGTCTGGGTGTCTTGATTATCAAGTATACCAGCATCTGACTTATTCTTTGGACCTCCATAATTTTCCAAGACAACTGAAACAACCTGATTTAGAAATGAAAATAAAATGCTATTAGAAGCTAAAGATCATGATTTGCGGCTGGAAAAAGAGGACTATGCAATTAAAAGTTCATAAATTAAACGAGACATGAATAGAGACAGAAAGAAAAAGAATTTGTAAACAATAGTTGATAATCAATGCCTGCCATCCAGTATGTTAGCATCTACTACGGGGTCAAATATTATGGTCATGGAATATTAATTCATCAAAAGGTTATTCATCTGCGTGTTTTATTTCTTCCAACAGCTATTGCAACTAACAAGTTGATGATAATATTTAGAAGCTATCCAAGTCAATGAGCATATTTTTCCTGTTAGACAAATTAGCAATCAAGAAAAGTGATGATGTAATTATAATATTAAAAAAGGTACATAACAAATAAAGCCAGCAGAAAATGATACCAAATGAACTTACATTATCAAAATCTGATGAAATGTGAGAGAATTCACCCATGAACCAGACCTGCGCACAAAGTACTCTTGTTAGGGTGCATATGATATTCAATTCACCAAGCAGGGGAAGGTCCAATTAAGGATTTCAGATATGAATTGGATCTACAAAAAAAGGAAATATCTAATGTTTATAACCAAGCACCGAGTGCGAGCAGCTGGACATCATGAAATATAAAATGGTTATCATTTAAAAACCAGAGATAAGAATCATGAGATTATTTCTGAATTACCATGTAGCATAAGAATTCATTTTTACATGTTGCCCAACATTTAATCTTCTTTTCCTTAAAGTCTTTGCTATTTCAGGACCATTATGCAAACCCAAACATAACATTTCTCAAAACATTCTTAGTATTTTAATCCTCTCAGACTGCAGGTCCTTCACTCAGCCAATTTTCATACGTTTTGCCAGTGACATTCTTAATTACTCATATACGCACTCTCTCTGTCCACACCAATAACACTCTTAATTAAGACTTTCGTTATGGAGAAGGAACTTTATGACCATGGCATGCCCAGTATATGCCTGTGAACTCATGAGCTTAAGCCTATAGGTGGTGAGCTCATCTAGTGTATATTATATTATGGAGCCACTTTTATTCTATGGGATAACCCATATATGAAACCTCAAAAAATCTCCCTATTCATGTCTGACACCAGAACTACAGGGGACCTGAAATCCACTCAGTCTAACTCAGTACCCTCCACAAGGACCAAATCCAGTTACTCTTCCGAGTGCACTATGTGTTTCATACTACATCATACTCTTACGAGAGTCTGATCTTTGAAGAAGGTTCAATGTCACTCTCCATGAGTCAACAATTACCATATTAAGAATCCTGCACCAAAAGTCCACCAGTGGCCCTCAAACTCCAGCTCCAAGAGAGTCCACTAGGGGATATTTAGATCCTGGTCCCTAACCCACTATAAAGCTTATTAGATTTAGTATGTCGAGTCTTTTTTTCTTTTCCCTCATTTGATGATTTTTATGTCTATTATTATGTGACAATTGTGCATGTTATTATATCACTATTGCCTCAACTTTCAAGGTATTAACTATAATAACTAATACATTTCCTCAAAGTTCAAAATATCATAGATTTCATTCTACATAGCCGTTTCAAATGAAATTTGTGTGTTTAACAAGTGCTCGTCAATATCCATCAACCAAGTTCCATGATGATTATAAACTTATGCAGAACAATTCTAATTTGGTATAACAATTTGAACAAAACTTTCACACGTAAGTAACAATGTCAAAATTATCAATTACCAGACCACGTGATATTGAAACAAATATAATATGCAAAACAAGTATCAAATTTACATTGAGGTGAATTACCATTGATGAAAGAGTTTTAAGCCCAGCAGAACGCAAATGCTTTTCCGACCCATCCTCCCTCATTTCTTGAGCTAAGAGACAAAGTTTTGGAATCATGCCATCTAAGTTAAACATGTATGTACCATCCTTCTGCACAATCAAAACGGTCACGCGAGATTAAAACTTCAAAAGTAATTCATATCCAATTACCGAAAGCAAACACAGACAAACAACAATCTGAAAGATAAAGAACATACCAACGACTCCCACCTGATTATTCACAAACTCAAAAAGAGTTTGGCATCCTAAAATACGTATTTCATCATGCCGTGATTGATCAAGTAGAATTTGTACAATGCTAAGCACGCTACTTGCAAACAATGGCCTGCCATATATTAATGTATCACAACTTGTACATGAAAATCAGTCATTATGCACAACATGAGCTACAAAACAACTCCAAAGGATAGTCTTGTAATTTCCTTTCAACAACATTCAGTATTTAAATGGAAAATTATTCCAGGAATTTTACTCTAAAACAATATATGATCTATACGGGATGAGAAATTACTAGGATGAATCTCAAACTTTGGAATCAGCGTATACAATAAAGATAAATAAACCTGAATCTCAGCGTATACAATAAAGGTCAGCCTGAATTTCATAGCTAGGTGAATATATTCCAGTCAATCCAACACATGCCAAATCTTCTGCAGTCTAGCAAAAATGTCGTTTGTGCTCTCAATGTTTAGTCATGCCAAATCGGGACATACTACGTCTTGCATCACAATATATAAAATCTTAGGCTATGCCAAATCTACTCAACCTAGCAAAAAAAACCTTGTGTTGTCAATGTAAATTCCTACATGGGACATTCTACGCCTTGCATCACACAGCATAAAATCATGGGCCTCTCCACTTACTACTAATTGATTTTGTGTCTTTGATGCTCTAACTGTCACATGAAGCCACAACAGGAAAATCATCGACATGTTAGGCCTGATTTGGCTACACATGCTCCATATGTCATCCAACATAGCTAATCCTCCACTGAAAATTTTATGCCTTGCATCACAGAGATAAAATAATGGGCCACTCCACTTATTGCCAATTGGTTTTGGATTTGATGCTCTGACTTTAACAATTTTGGATCTCATATATGTGAAACCAAGCTTTAAAAAAGGTAAAGCCTTCATTTATAGTGTGGACTGACTTGTTTAAGTTCTCAAGTTTTCCTAAGTTACAGTGTTTAATGCATTCTTCCTTAATGTAGAAGTGCCCCATAATTTTCACAGGGGTAAAGATTCAAATATGCACATTATTTTAATGGTCAAATTTCACAACCATAGTACTAAGTAATTTCTCATCAGGCTAGGTAGTTAGTGGAAGCATGTCTTGAGCACAATGCTTCTATCTTATTGCATTCTCTGGCTTTATAAATTCTGAAAAGAAATGAAAATGACTCAGCTAGTATGTTGTAATCAACTTAGCACTCCAGCCAATAGGTCTAGCTTTTCTCAATATGTTCAGGAATCTGAAAAGAAACATACTAGCAATAACCTTAATAATGTACTCACATTTATTATGAACTAAAGAACTCACATTTGCTCCTTACAAGAGACCAACAACTTCCGGTAGATACACATAACAACTTTCACAGAGTGAAAGTTCTCAGTTCTCAAATCCTTGTAACACCTTTGCTCCAGAGTAGTTGTGATCTGAAGTATGAATTTTTGAACTTCTATCAACACAACAGAATAGTACACAAATGAAAAGTAAAATAAAATCTATAACCTGGAAGATGAAACAAATGAATGAATATTGTTGATAAGAAAAACGATATACCAGAAGAAAAAAAAGGTATGGAATCATTAGATCCAAGTAAATTGAACAAATTAGAACTCTCAAAGCAGCTTTTGAAAATAATGAATCCCCTCTATTTAGAATAAAAAATAAAAAATAATATTTAAGCTCAAAGCATGGTAGCTGCAAAGAAACAAGGTACTGATTTCCATAACTAGGTTTGCTATATATCTTTAACTACAATTCTTGATCATCTTGCCAAAAGAGGAGGTATTGTGTCTCAGTCAATCTGCATGTAGAACTACAATATATGCCTTACAAATTTGCCTAGGTCCAGTTCTTTTATCCATATCAATTTAGTGCAGTACTTAATAATAACCACCATTACCAATCTGCATGGGGCAATACTATCTTACAAATTCACCTAGACCCAATATTTTATCTAGATCACTTTGGTGGAGTATTTAACCACCCTTACAAACGAATGTCCCTCCTCCAAACCAACAGAAAACTTCTAAAGCCATTCAACAGAACACTATTAGCATCTTAACCAGGAGATGCTTACAATTAGCGGCCACTGACCACAAGTATATTTCATTTTTCTTTCTAGCATCTTCATCTCCTTCACAATAGTCAAAGTGGACAGCAAAAGCATGTGCTGCTAGGATTTTGAAAGCGCTCCTCGAACAAAATAATCTGCCTTCAGCCTTCTTTCACACATATTCATCTTCCATTCTTATGGCCATTAGATTCATTCATAAAAGTCCCATTCCAACCCCTTAAGCTTCCATAGTCATTGAAACTATATGCAAACTTAAGCATATGCAGGAAACTAGAAATTATCTCCTTGTCAATTCAACAACCTTCACTTCTGAATTCCTAAACACATGATGCCTCTTATCACATAGTACTGTAACACTAATCCCATATTAACATTTAATTTTCTGTTTAATTAGTTAAAGTCGTACAAAATTCTAAGGAAATTCAACCCACACCCAAATTTGAATTATGTGAGCAGCTACAATTTCAGCTCCAGATTATCACTTCAGTTCGTGTTAACAATGTAAACCATATTTCATACATATATAATGAGCAGAGGTAGCACCTTTGGGATACGAAGAGGAGTTTTTGAGGCATATTCACATAGTTTACTGATCTTACGATCATTTGGTTCTTCATCCTGCCAAAATAGGAGGGAAAAATTCCAATAACACAAACTGAAGGAACTGGCATAAAATGAGAATTGTAACATAAAAACCAGTTATGCTGAAAGACTAATTAAACAGCCCAAATCCAAAGAAATATCAATTTAAATACCAAATTCTGGCATGCCGAGTGATGATTTTTCAGACAACAAGAAAAAAAAAATCAATTTAAATACCAAATTGCAGAGAATTTTCAGATAACACATTGGTAACACAATTAGAACCGTAAAGCATAACCTATTTGATATGTAACTTTTATTTAGCAAGAAGAACATAATACAGGACCATGGTTTTCCTTTTGTTTCACCATATTTTCTGACCTGATCATGTATAGAATAAATAAAGAAAAAATTGTTCATTTCTTGGGAAGCAAGTTACTTTTTAACATAAATCAATTTCAGTCCTATTTTCATAAGATCCCCAAACACAAGAACCAAAAGTTCCCACATTGCTTCTGTATACAATTGTGATTTCTTTTCACTTTGTAGCATAAAAATCAATTTTGTTGAGAATTTCCACTACCCACATTAGAAATTAATTCATAAAAACCAAAAAAAAAAAAAATGAAGGTGAATAAAGAAATTCACCGGAGACCGAGGAAATATCTCGGCGAGCAGCTTCTTGTATCGTTTGACGGGATGCCGTGATCTCGCACGCAATGCAGGGCAAAAGAAACAGAGACTTTCACAAACAGGGAACACTTGCCTTGAAATCACACCCATCTGTCTTCAACCTAAGTCTCAATTTCTCAAAGCCTATACAAAATATACGTATACATGTACGTTCGTATATGTAATGTATAATGTACGTATGTATGCGTTGTGAAAAGGATTTCAATTTCGATGAGATGGGATGGGAATTCGTTTAATTTTTTTATAATTGTTTTTGAGTCTGAGAGGGAGATTGGGAATTGAAATCCTGGAAAAGGATTGTGAAATTTGGGAAAAGGTGGTGGTGGTGGTTGGGGTTATGCCTCCGGGGATCGGACGGTGGAGATGGTAGGAGGGAGAAGAAGAATGAGTGCGAGAGCACCGGATCACCGAGGTTCACCACCGGAGGAGGAATGTGTTAAAAAAAGAAAAAAAATTTATACTCTCTCCCTCTGTCTCTCTCTCCTTTCATATAAATAGTTTTGGGGGTTTTATATACGAAATAGTTATTACTGCAACGGCTATATTTGGCACTCTCTTTTGTTTTATTTTGGTTTTCGTATTTTTGTTCTATTTTGCTAACCCATAACTTTAATTGTGGACTCTTCTAGGCTTGGAGTTGTAGAACTTTTGGAGAATGGGTACATGAGTGAAATGATTGCCCAAAAACACGTTTTTAGTGCATGTAATTCACAAAGTATCATTTTCGTCTTTATATGTTCAATTGCATTGAATTTAGTCTCTATGATTTGTAAATTGTTTACTGTCGTTAATTCTTGAAGCGATAACTTTGGGGATTCTAAGCCTCTATATTTTGATTTCGTACATTTACCCGTATTTCACAAAATTTTGACCATTCTAATAATCTAACCGTTTAAAGACATGACATGTACAACATAAATGTTTAATTTTCCTTTTCATTAGACAATTATTTAATTGTATAAACAATAAAAATAAAAGAAAAATCCACTCCCTTTCCACAAAAAGTGAGGTTGAGAGATGAGGGGAAGGAGGAGCTGCGAGGAATATATATAACTATTAGTCTATTGAGGAATTCCTCAAATAATTTTATTTAATGACACATTTTAGGGTTCCTTACAAAAAAATAATAATAATAAAAAATTCAATGATCCAAACAATCTAATTTTCACATCTTCATTCATAGATCATCCTTGCAAAAAATATGCAAATTGAAAACCATTAAGGCATCTAATTGAGACCAATAAAATCTATGAACGCGGTGATTTAAGAAAGTATTTAAATTTCAATAATTTAATTGAGTGGTCAAATGATATCGGATTCAAGTAAAGTTTTGTAGAGATGATCTTTGAACGAATGTCTACAAAATAGATGATTTGGATTAATGAAATACAATGTGGAGTAGGCCCTACGAAGGTGTCCCTCAAGTACTCATTTTGATTAACAATGTTGAAATATATGTTTACAGAAAAGGGAATGAAGTAGATGGAGGTTTTTCTAGCTTTTCTTCTCTAAGTCAAGAAGTGGCCGTCTCAATCTTCTTGGAATCTTCCGCAAGATATATATATATATAGTCCCCTTCTATTGAGCGATACCCTTTAGAGTACCTTACGAAATTTTTTTCAATGATCCAAACATATTTTTTAGATCTTCATTCATAGATCATCTTTGCAAAAAATTAGATAAATCGGAAATCGCGGAACCGTTTCGATATCCAATTGTGTCCTACAAAATTAATGAATACGGTGCTTCAAAAAAGTACTAAAATTTCAATAATTTAATTGAGTGGTCAAATAATATTAGATTTAAGTGATTTTTTTTGTAGAGATGATCTTTGAATGAGTATCTACAAAATATACGGTTTGGATTAATGAAATAATTACAAAGTGGGCCCTACAAAAGTGTCCCAATATATATATAGAGAGAGGGAGAGAGAAAGAGAGAGAGAGAGAGTTTTTTGTTCTCTACTACGGACGTCTGTATTTTTTCAGAACGTCCAGACTACTTGTTCTTTTGCCTTCTTTGTGCTAATAAATCAATCCAAACACTTTTATCACTTTTCTTGGTAAAGGTAGAATATAAACCATGCTCTGCCAATACTTAAAAGTCAAACATCACCTCTAGATTGGGCTTTTCCTTCGTTGGTGGACTATAGAGAGAATTTGGAGACTGTTATGGGTGCTTTAGTGTCTTTTTTTTCAATGATAAAGAAGATAGATGCAGAAAACAAAATGGAAATGATTTCCTTTCCATTGAATGAATGAATTCATTCTGATCATGTGAAAAAACAAAACAAGTCCAAACATTAAGCAATTCTGGATGTCCGCACTAGAGAATAGTCATATATATATATATATATAGAGAGAGAGAGAGAGAGAGAGAGATGATCCGACTATGACAATTTATGTGTAATTTACGCCGCCACCATTATGATCAAATATGATCTAACTATGACGATTGAGGAGGTCGATGGTATCTTGAGACGTCTATGACCCAGTTTTTTGGATTTGGCTCACATTGACAGTCAAGTGTTTCTTTCAGAGAGTGTGTGGTTATGTTGACAAAGATCTATGTTGTGTCTTATTGCTTTATGAGAATCTAATGCAAGATAATCTTTAAATCCCGGATTTTAAAAATATAAATCTTATTTATAATATTTATATACATGACAATTAAATCCGTAGGAAATATGAACTCAAGGGCTCGGCCCCGGCCACTTCAATCCACAGGGTGGGGTCCATATGATAATTTCTATAATGTTTAGTATACATAAAAATATAGTTATATTCTTATATTTGAATATGTAGAGTCTAAAATGTTGGCATATTCACATATAAATATTAGTAAATGACTCATTAGTGTAATGGTTTGGAGCATATGCTCTCTTATGATAGGTTTTGGGTTCGAGTCCTAACATCCGTACAATGTGTGAATTTACTAGTTTAGTATGCTATTATTGCCCCTCTTAATAAGAAAGGTCCTCAAAAATAAAATAAAAATAATTAGAGAGAGCATTCGAACTTGGTGCTGTTCTAAATTTTGGAAAGAAAAATATACTTTATTATTAGTAAGGAATGTGGTTCAAATTTGGCATATTTTCCAACATTGGGAAGAGATCAATGACTACTTGGTAAATTAGTCAATTACATTATCTTATTAAATATTTCTAGCTAGGCCCTACCATTATGTATTAACAAAAAAATCTTCCTTGTTCTATTTCAGACACCCTACTTGAGATAAAGAAAAACTTTGATCGAGGTTGCTTTTTCTCGCCAAAAACCTGCTTCACTTTAAAGTTAAGCAGTTTTAGGTGTTTGGTAAAAATAAAATATCTCGATTATTTTAAAAGCAGTGGCCTTTTGACAGCAGCTTTTAAAAGCAGGCTATGGGTTGCTTTTCAAAGCTGCTTTCAAAAGAAGCAGAGATGAACCTTTAATGAATTTTTTTAATTCCCAAAATACCATCATTCATTTAAAAAAATAACCACCTCCACTTCCACATCCAACTCCACCACTTACATCACCACATTCACTACCTCCACAACCACCACCATCGCCACTGCCACCACCACCACTACCACCTCCTCCACCACCATCAACTCCACCACCACCACCACCACCACCACAACCACCACCACCAACTCCATCTCCACCTCCACCACCACCACCACCTCCTCCACCACCACCAACTCCACCACCACCACCACAACCACCACCACCAACTCCATCTCCACCTCCACCACCACCACCACCACAACCACCACCTCCACAACCAACACCACCACCACCACCATGCTGCCACCTTCACCACCATGCTGTCACTACCACCACCTCCACAAGCACCATCCCTACCACCACCACCTCCACTCCATCACTACCACTACTACCACATGATTAGTACATAACATTTTTAACATCATGTCTATTTTAGTCATTATTCACAGTTACAACAATTTTATATTAAAACTTACCAAACGTTGACACTGCTTTTTGTACTAACAGCACTTTAAAAATATTGTTTACCAAACACAGAGCTGCTTTACTTTACAGCTAATTATTTTCAAAGCACAGCAGAAGCAACTTTTTTAAAAAATGACAGCAATCCCAAACTGGGCCTAAGGCCTTCTCCAACTCATTTGGGGCTAAATCCAAATTTTTTCTCTTCCAAAAAGTAACTATTTAGGTTTTGTCCGGACTCAAATCGTTTTCCTCCCAACCCTCCAGACTCAAATTTTAAGTTTGCAATTTTATTAAATTGTTTAAGAATTGTTTAAGTCCATTTTTTTAATGGATAACTTTTCTTCATTTAATCTTTTTAAATAACTTTATAATTTAATTTTTTGCACAATTTGACCTAAAAAATTTGCAATTCCACAAATATAATTTTATTCCAAAAGAAAACACACAAAATAATTCTACAAGAAAACACACAATACTTCAAATTCACCATACATGAAACCCCATAGGAATAAACTAATAACCACCATCGTGGGGGCTTGGATAATAGTCCCCTGAGTTGTCTTTAGGATTAACTATTGACTGTTGACTCTGTGCATGTTCTTGCATAATTTCATCTTTTTATTTCCCAATACTTCTTCTTTCATGAAGTAAATTTGGACACGTCCATGGACATTACTTTTGTTCTTGGGCTTCCTTATCTTGTTGCTTATGATACGCATAAGCATCAGCTTAATATTGAACAAACTTGTCCAATATCTTTCATCTCCTATCCTTCTCAAAAGCAATATCTTGCTCAACCAATAATTCCAAGTACTTAGAGCATCCACAATGGGCTCTCTAAACAATTTCTTTAGACAAATTTTAAGGAGGAATCGTAAAAATGCAACTCCAACCATGCTCTCTATCCACCTCCTAAAATAGGGAGTCCTCTAGGAGCTCCTAAATCTGAGGAGACAGAAATGACTCCTAGTGGCTCCTTATAATTTAATGTTTCTTTATTTAATGAGTATTTCAAACCTTTATTTAATGCTAATTATTTTTTATTTTATTTTATAATAAAGATAGACCAATAAAAAAAGAGTTATAGCATTTATGACTCTCAAAATTAGGGAGTATGGTTGGAGTTGAAATTTTTTAGAGAGCTCCTAAAATAGTTTTCTTATATTTTTAGGTAAATTTTAGCTAAGAAATAGAGAGTATCATTGTGGATGCTCTTATCCCTTGTTTGTTGAAGAGGGTCAGCCATCTTCCTTTTGTGTGTGTGTGTGTGTGTGTGCAGCCTTTTGTTTATCTTGCCCTCAGGCTTTGGACTAGGCATGGTGATATCGTCTGCGTTGTTATCCAAATTTACCATACTTGCACTGGCTCCAGAAAAACGTTGTGTGGAAGGCTCATTTATATCGTTCCACTTTGGGCAATCTTTTAAGATTTCCCAAGCATGGTACTACTTGAAAGGCCTAATTGGAGGCTTATTATTATTAAGAAAGATTGTTTTCGCATACACGTCCTACACATGAAAAAATAAATTTAAGTTTGGAGTTGAATAAAATTACAAATATAAATTAAAAGCTTTAATAAGAATGGTTACTTACCACATCATGTAGATTTGAGCCACTTTGTGGGTTCATATTGGCCTTAGTCAAGCATGCCTTCCAAAGAGAATACTGTTGGTTGATAGTCTTGAACCGAAAAGCAATGGCTTGATATGTTTGTTGATCAGGTCCACTAATGCCCAGATCATTTTCTGAAAACTTTTGATATACACACTTCCAAAATGTGTCACTTGCTTGATTGGTGTCAATAGCCCCATCTTCACTGACGAAAACCCTTTGCACAATGCCTCATCTTCTTTGGGCCTCCAATTCACACCTCTTTGAGATTTTGGGGACATCTGCAACAAGAATGAAAGGAGATTGATGAAATTGACAAAGAAAAAATAAATTGAGAAATAGAAAAAAATATTTTTGGTAGATTAATTGAGAAATGGGTGAGTATTTATAGAGTTTGGAGTGAGTTTTGGGGTTGTATATGATTTAGATTAATTTAAAATATTATTTTGACCGTTGGATAATTTTTTTTTTAACTATTAAAATAGCTTAGATTTAATCTTATTGTTGATTTAAATTACTATTAGAATATAAAGAAAACTAGATTTGAATTGTTGTTGTTGGATTCCAATGGCAACATAACCAAAATGTGACATGTGGGAGGCTGCTGCATCAGGTAGCAAACAAGAACTGTAGCGTGGGTCCCAGCGTGGGCCCTAATATGATTTCTTACACATGGGATGCACCAGCAGCAGGTGGGCTCCACTGAAATTTTTTTGGGTCCAGGCAATACCTAGACTGCTATTTGGCTCCAAGTTTGGGTTTTCCCAAAATTTGGCCCCTTTATTTTCTTAGGTTGGAAGAGGTTTTGAGTTTGGCCTCATGGGTTGGAGATGGCCTAAGAGCATCTTCATGGGAGATGTCAAGTGCAAAATGTTAAATTTAAATTTGACAGCTTATGTGGCAATTTGATACTTAAGAAGATATTTAACTCCACTCGAAATGCCAAATATCATATTATTTTATTGTTAAAAGCAAATGGAGCCATATGATGCATAAAGTTTTAAAAGAAAGTAAATGATAGTGGGATCTATAACTAAAAAAAATATTAAAATAATATTTGACATCAAGCTTTTTGATATGTTATTTTTGACATATCTCTTCTAGCTTTCAAATCCATGTAAGATTTGACTACTTGGTTGGAGCAACTTTAACCTTTAAATTTTGCCATTTTATGTCCATATGACAATTTGACATATCGGTGGGAGATTCTCTAATATGAAGACAATATACTTTTTCTTCTTTTATTTTTCAAATGGAATCTAAATTTTGAGATGAGAAGAGCGAGAGTCAAATTCTGGTTGTGGTTTGTGATCAAATATTTTCTTATCACTAGAGTTATATAAGTCACCTTACCAACTGGATTAGCTAGCACATTCTTTCTTACGTGTATTAAGATTTGCCAGAAAGAAATTGTTGCATATATATACGTGACAATTAAATCCGTAGGAATATGAACAAAATTTAATTATGGAAAAAGTGGGGAAATGTATATTTTGAAATCCAGTAATTTTATTTTATTTTTGGCCAAAAAATCCATTAGTTTCTTAACTAATCAAATTTATATGTGGATTTATTAACATAGAAAGTAGTATTTTAATTCAAAAATTCCCATTTGTTTGCATTTTATTTAAAAGTTGTATTATTTCTACCATTGTAAATGGCTCTCTCTCCTAGCCGCTCTCCTTTAATTTCTCCACAAACAAAGCCTTTTAATCAGAACCACAAACTCATCCTGCGAAAAGCCAAGGTAGAGAGAGAAATGGTGGCATTGATGATCATTTGCAAACTTTCAGACGAAAAAAGAAAAATCTTTTGCAAACAAAAACGCAAAAGAAGAAAGCTCAGGACAAAGATTGAGAAAAAGCGAGAGAACAAAAAAACATGGGCAGCAAGAAAAAAATCCATAGTTTCCAGAAAATTTCAATTGTTGGACCATGCACACTAAAGTTGAAAGAGCTTTTTGGAAAAGTAGCCAAGTATGCTTTTGGTTTCTTCTTAATGTATGCTCTGTGCAATATATCGCACTTCCTGTTAAAGCCATATTCTCAGCCTCGCATTACCTCTGACACCGTTGTAAGCCTCTCTCTCTCTCTCTCTCTCTCTCTCTCTCTCTCTCAAGACTTGTATTAAACTCTCTTTTTTATTTTCCATTTTTTTTTTGGGGTCATTTTGAGAGGTTGCCAATGAAATTACTGATGAATTGAAACTATCCCCAACCATTGGCACATATAGCTTGTTATGAATGATTGACAATACATATGAGCGGGAAATGTTATTCTCACTCTGAGTTTGTCATTCTGCACTCGTTTTGCGAGTATTTTATAATAATTAATTTTGGAGTGCAGAATGACATTATGGGAGCGTATAGCTGGCTGGCTATGATGATATGTGTGATCATATGGTCATGCCTTTATAGGGGCATTCTTTTGTTTTAATATTTACCTTTCATATCAGTCATTGGGACTCTAATTTAGATTGTCCTTAACAGGGTGATGAAGATTGTTCTTGTCATATCAGTCTACTTGGTTGTAAATGTAGTGAACAAGTCATGACAACGGAAAGGAAAAAAAAAAAAACCCCTTGAGCAACCAGCAGAATTTAATTGGTCTTTTTCAGTTAGAACTTTGGTCCCTTACATTCTATGCTATTGATTTCGACTCTTGACGACATCAGTTGTAGCTCTTCCTAGGAGGAGGACAAGTTATTTGGTCTAGAGACCATAAGCAGAGAGAAGACATCTTGTATGCAGTTCTGATGAATTCAAAAGAAAGCCCTTCAATAAGCCTTCTTATGAGTATTTTTCTTCAGCATCCAGACTAGTAGTAAATTTGATCAGATAAAGACTTCCTTATTCTAATGAGGCCTATTTCATAATTTTGTATGTCCTGTGGATAGGACTTATGCCCTTTACTTATTTGTAGTGTAAATTCTGCATTAAAAAAGTAGTAGTTTCGTATATAAAAAATTTAAAGCCTGTTCCTACCACACCTTTCATCTTTATGACAAAAAAATGCCATTTTTGTTGGTCATTCTTGATAAGAACTATGCTATTATGGGTGCTGTTTTCTTTATGATGCTACTCACTGCCTACAATTGTGATTAAATTCTTATCTCTTATGGTATGCAGATAGGACTGCTCATTGGAAACATAGGGTTCATACGCAATCAAGTAACAGATTCAGCGAGTAAAACATTGAATTTCATAGTTGATTTTGGCATGATCTGCTATATGTTTGTGTTAGGCATAGAAATGAATCCGTATATACTCTTTAAAGAACCAACCAAGGATGCTAAGGTGGCCTATGGTGGTATGCTCTCCACATTCATCCTAGCCTGTGCCATAACCCCATTTATGCATTTTACAGAAGGTTTCAAGGTCGACTTCACTCTCTCCCTCTCCACGGTCCTCTCTAGCACAGCCTCTCCGGTGTTGACACGTCTGATAACAAGTCTCAAAATAGGAAAGTCAGACATAGGCCATAACCACTCTTCTCCTCTCCATTGGCTATGTCTTTTGCCCTGTTGAATATGGCAATAAAGTTGTAGAGACTTCAAAGCGCGTTCGGAGATCCATTGAAATGGGTTCTGCATTAGTAATCCAGACACTTTTCGCTGCATATGTTTCACCATTCTTCATGAACTGGGTCAACAATGAAAATCCGGAAGGCAAACCCATAAAAGGTTCACACCTAGTGCTTGCTCTTGCTTTCATGGCCTTGGTCATTTCCTGCTCACCAATTTATGGATACAGTCCTGTTTTGAGTGCATTTATGGCAGGAACCTTTTTACCAAGGGAGGGAAGAGTCTCAAAATGGGTAGTAGGCAAGATCAATTACTTGTTAACTACCATTTTCTATCCCATTTTTTTCTTTTGGATGGGGTACGAAGCTGTGTTCAAGGATTTTCAACCTGGCCAATTCGGGACATGGGGAAGGTTATTTGTAGTTTTTGCTATAGCAACAATTGGAAAAGTTACTGGAACAGTCATCTCTGGAAAGCTGTTGGGGTTTAACTGGCCGGAATCTGTTGCACTTGGGCTTCTTCTCACTACCAAAGGCCATTTTCACATATACTTAGCCATTGCTGCAAAAACAGTTAGTCTCTGACCTCTATTTTTTGTTCCCTCATGTGCTTTCTTTTTTCCTTCCCCAATTTTCATGTGTTGTGATACTAACTTCCTCAGATGCATTTTTTACCTATTAATGGCACGGTTTAAACATAACTGAAGCTTGTGACAGAAAATTATAGTAGATATATAACTTATAACTATACATCAACAACAATTTTCATGCCTATTGGGACCAGCTTCACTGTTTGAACCATCCTGATCTTCTTGCTTTTTGCCCTTCTGATCACATGCAGGCTGGGAAAACGTCTACTTCAACCAGCACTGTGATGGTGATAGCTATCTTTTTCACTGTTGTGCACGCCCCATCAGTCGTGGCTCAAATCATCAAGCGTGCAAGGAAACGGGTACCTACTCATCGAATGTCGCTTCAGTTGCTTGACCCTTCAAGTGAACTCCGCATATTACTATGCCTTAATGGGCCTCAAAACGTGTGTACTACCATTAACTTCATTGAGATATCTAGAGGGACAGCTGACCCTGGTATTTTGGTATATGTAACCGACATGATAGAACTCACAGACGAAATCGCAGCCACACTGGTCAAAGAAGAAGGAGTGGACACCATGACTGTGACTCACACAGGAGTAAAAGAAATGAGAGATCAAGTCACAACTGCAGTTCAAGCCTATGTAGGGGAGAGCGGAGAAGGTATCACACTTAGACGATTGCTGGCACTCTCGACTTTCAATGGCTTGCCCCAGGATATTTGCATTTTGGCAGAGGACTCAATGGTAGCGCTCATCATATTGCCATTTCACAAGGTCCAACGCGAAGATGGAACCTTGGATAACGGTCATTCTGGTTTCAGATATGTGAATCGTAAGGTAATGTATATCAGAAAACTGGATTATCTTTCAATCAGCTACATATTATATCGAGAATTAACAAAATTCATTCCGATAGTTGGTCAGGCATACCAAAATGTATCAACAAAATAGTTAAATACTTCTAGCTACATGGTCATATGCTTGGAACAATTATAGATTTAAACTTTGCACTTGGAAGTATATATTTAGACATGTATGATACCACCACTGATGTAATCTCTAATTTACATTAGGGATTTCGGTTTATGTCTTGAAGAATTAGTCAGAGAGATAAGCATGTAAAGTTAAGTCTCATATTTCCAACCTTTTAGTTACATAGTATATGCTAAACGCAATGCTAATTAGTAAGGTCATATTACATATTGACAATGAATATAAAGGAGGTGATGTCTTAGATATCTGCTTATATTTCCAAGTTCATTCACATTTCTACAGACATATCTGCTATGACATACTTTCCATTTATCAATTAATGATAATTATGGTATTAACAGGTCCTCAAGAATGCTCCGTGCTCTGTGGGAATTCTTGTAGACAGAGGTCTTGGATTGATTGAAAAACTACGAAGAACTTATGATCATTCTGTCAGTGTGGCAGTCATCTTTATTGGTGGTAAAGACGATAGAGAAGCACTTGCCTATGCTGGTCGCGTAGCACGACATTCGGGTGTAAAACTCACAGTCATAAGATTCTTGGTTGATGCTAGCTCAGAGGCAGCAACTAGACCTGGGAATTACACAGTCAGCTCTTCTGAGAAAGAAGAGGAAATGAAGCTTGATGATGAGTGCTTTGCTAGCTTCTATGAGAGACATGTGTCATGTGGGCAAGTTGCTTACATGGAGAAGCATCTTGCCAATTCTGCTGAAACCTATACTACCTTGAGGGCATTGGATGGGCAGTACTCACTCATTA